AAAATGACGCCTGAAACAGATAATCCAGAAGGGAACGTTTGAGTGGTGGAAGATATGTGAGGCGTAGAGGGAGGTGCAGAATGTGATGCAATCAGACCCCTTCAACGGGAAGAAAATATCAGGCGCCTATCAACCCCTCTAATATGAGCCATGTACCCGATTGCAGCACAGAATCGTAGAAATCGCGCAAGATAAACACGATCACTCGTCTGTGGGCGTATAGTCCTAGCGTTAGGGTAAGAGAGGACTTGGACTGAGCAGTACTATAGCGCTTTAGGACTACTGGTTATGCATATAATCGGCAGAGGCCAATAGAAGCGTTTAAAAAGGGTTAAAAAAGGGGCAGCACTCAAGCGACCAACATCAAAAGTGAAGTTCCCCAAACGAGTACTAGATGGTATGCAATGATAACGCATTGATTTTCAATGAAAGGTCGCCAAAATTATTGAAGAAAAAGGGAAGTAAAGAACAAAAATAGAAAGAACCTTAGCATTCTCCAGCTCCTTCCGCTTACGTCGCAGTTCTGCAGAGCTTATGGCAAGCTGCTTCTCTGCTTCGGCTTTCTGAAAAAACAATTAAAATTCATCATAAACTTGAACATTTGACGTTTTCGTAGCATGTTCCGTAGATAAGAGAACATAAAAAGAAAAAATTCGAAACCCGAAAATTCTTTAGATGATCTTAAAATCGAAGAATGGTAGGATGCAATCACCAATGCATTGAACAAAAAGGTAAAATAAGTCATCATAAATTTAAATCAATACTTACAACATCAGAGAATCGAGTAGCTATGGCAAAAAAAGTATAATTATAAAATATATTGATTTACCAAAAAGTATTTACGGAAATGAAATGACAGATATAGAAAAAGGGTAAAAGTAAACTAGAAAATAGCAAACAACTCATGCGCAATTAGAATTTGCTTTGGCAAAATAGATAAAATAATAGAGAAAAGAATAAAGAGATATAAATAGATATAGCGACTGGATAGACGTAGGATTGTGTAGTGAAAAGAGGATAGGGGATAGAGATTTGGATAGAAAGCATGATTTCATGTCACTCTGCTCTTTTTCTATCATTGTTGTAAAATTATCAATCATCAGATTGGTGGGAAAATTTGATAATTTATTAATTATATTAAATTACCAAATATTCCGAACTAATATGACAAACTAAAAATTATTCATCGTGAGGAAGGCGAAAACATCTAAGGATGTCCATTTTGTCAATTTACTAGATTATCAAGATTTTATAATGAGTTCCAAGCTGCTCACCTGATAAGCTCTATTCTATTCGCTTCTTCTTCTCCATCTCACGCCGTCGCTTTATTGGATCCGTGCTCATTGATGGCGAGATTGTGATGGATTCGCTTCGTAGCGAATTTTCACGCGCTTTCCGAACTGCCTCCTCGCGAAGTTTCAATGTGACCCGGCATTTCTCAACCATGTCCTCGCAATCGTGCTAAAGGTGACATCATTAAACACTAATCGATACTAATTTTGACTTGTTTTCGATTAGTAGCTGTTATTTATGGCCTTAGTTTGCCCTGTGAGGGTTATCACAAGATGCTGCGTATGTGGCAAAATGTCCACGTCTAGGGCGGAATCCAACCCACCCCTCTCGTTTTGAGTGAGCCAGTTGCTGCAACAGCCTACAATACCGTTTAGCCCTTCCACCATAGTCCAGCTTCTCATGGCATATTTACCTCGACTTATTCAATCCAAATAATCATCTATGTGATGAGACACAGACAAAAATAGACTACTAGTTTCACAAGGAATACTGGTGTTATGAACAAAACTTTCGCCCCAGGCGGGACTAGAACCCGCACCTCTCGCTTTCCGGGCAAGTGCGCTACCAGTTACGCTACCGGGGCAGCGTTTTGTCCTAATTGATAGAATACAGTAGCCTCCGGAAATACCATTGTCAAGTAACAGCTTACCAGCGATTTCGTGAGCTTAGTCCATTCGAGTTTCAAAGCGCCACGTTGGATATCGTGTTCTTTACGTCGAGCGTCAAGCGCCTAAAATTCTTCTCTTTAAAAGGCAACTTCTGACTTCCGCAAAATGGTTCTCAAAATTTGATGCCTAAGACCAAGCTTAAGGAGGGTATATGATAGATATTTGAACAGTATCATACTTTGCAAGTAATCAGTCATCAGCAGTGATTAGTAGGAACCAGAACCATCCGTAGTTATTTTTTACCTCACAAAATGCTTCAGAGATGCCGAATTACTGCTTCCGACTAATTACGGTAACAAGTATGTAATCAAATTTAACTACTGATATAAAAGCGAATGTAATTGAAACGGAAGTGAAAGATGAAGACAGAAACCAGGAGCGTCGAGAAAATACAAGGTCATAGAAGAAGGGATCGTAAAATAAGAAAGCATTTCTTCAGGATCTTTCCTTTCCCTCTCTTCTTTTTTCATTTTCTTCTTCACTGGGTATATGTAGCTAATAAAGTCCCATGGTAACAAGATACTGTAGGTGTACAGTAATGCTAAGGTAATGCTGTAAACGCGACAACGAATGTAACTCTAAGAAAATGTAAGAAAATGGTAGAAACAAGAACTGTTGTGCTACGAACTTCAACGACTCGAGCCTTCAGGTGATCAGTGGTCTCCTTCGTCCTGCCGACCAAGTCGATATCACTGTCAAAACTGCTTTCGAACACATCTCGTAGTGGCATAAACGGCTGCAAAACAATTAAATTGGCTCATTAGAAAGGCTCTATCAAATATTACGGCTCATATTTGTTTGTTTACCCAATTGTTGCGCTCCCTCACCCACTTGTGAGGTCCCTGAGGTTGTGGAGCAATTTTCAAAATATTTTCTGTTTATTATTCGTGCACATGCATGAAACATGAAGTAGGTGAAACGTTATTTCTTATTTGAATTTCCCGCACATTGGATACGAAATGTGCGTCCGGACACGCGAAAGGGAAAACTCTCGACGGCTATGCTTCGCATCCTGTTTTTGCGCGTGCGCGATGCGCAAATCGAGCGGGAAATTGGCCCGCAGGGCACGGTGCAGGAAAAGTTTGCCACACCACTGTGATTGGATGTTAATTGTGGCTTCATGCGCTTGAGCAAGTGGAAGAAGAAAATTTGTGTGGGACAAGTTGAAATTATTTACAACATTCATCCAGTTACGTTGTGGAGTTGTCGCCGGTGCTTTAAGCATACATTAAAATAAGGCTGCGCAAGCTTGACCTCTTGCACACTTTGAGAATAACGGAATATAAGTAAACGTGTGCGCTATAGCTTATTAACCGGTTCTGTTTCAGTTACTTTTGGTTAATTCTTGCACAGGTTTTGGTATGCTTGTCGCGTTCCCAGCTCGCTGCACCACGAGAGAAGTTCCTTGCATAAGTTCTTGATGCAAATACCGGTCCTTTCGAAAAATCTCTCTCTTTTCGGTTCTATATTCAATTATCTTTCCTTGTATCGCTACAAAAGCTTTCTTATGTGCCTTTAAGTTCGGAAAGCAATGTTGTTTCTTTGCCATGTTTGCTTACTCCTCCTGCTCTTTTGTATATCTCATGTCGTGATTTGGGCTATACGCAATATGATCCATGTTCTTGTTGAGTTGGTTTCTGATTCGTTTCAGTTGTTATACTTTTCTCCTTCTACAGGTGAAGTTGGGAAGCAATGGTCCGCTGGCTCTTTTTGAGTCATATACAATTCATCTTTCTTGGCATGCCTGTTGCTCTGTGCTGCCAGTACTCCTCTCAAATCAGCCTTGTTTTTGACTATGCTCGTACCCAGCAGTCGGTTCCACGTGGGAGGTTGGCATACCGTGTGTCGAAGCTCCGACCTTTTTCCACAATACTACATCCGCTAAACTATGAGCCACCATGTGCCAACTTGGCTAAACTTTACTTGCTTGTTGCAAATTTACCAAAGGCTGTTTTACTGCCACAATGCACTGGCATGGTGAATGTAGTTATTCGCAATAATTCATCCTGCACTGCGGACGGTTTTTCTCCAAACTTAGCCTTTCACCTTTCATTCTTAGTTCTCACCATCGTTGTGTTTACTGGTTGCTTTTTTTTCCTGCATGGGACGTTGGTGCACTCTTATGAGTATATAAGTAAATAAAAAAAATAAATTGTGCAACCTAAAATGCAAAAAATGAAATGAAACGGATGTATGACAACTGCGAGTATATAAAAACAAATATAGAACGCGATTATCATGACAAAAAATAATATTATAATTCCGCAAAATTGAGAAGACTCAAAAACTCTTGGAAACGTGCCCACTTGAAGCGATTTTCTCGAAAGTTTACTCATTCAAGGCTATCTGACTTTTTTCATCCCCAATATTTTTCCGCGCTTCTTTTGGTTTTTCATAAGGGACATTTTCATACCTTCGATATATCCCGTCTACATTGCTCAACCAGCGTCGTCACTTTGCGGGCATGCTCCTGTTCTAGCTGGAGACGGGCGCGGATGTAGGACAACAGATCCTTCGAGTAACTGGAATTTGACAGCTACTCGATCACCTTATACGTTCAGTTCTTTTCCAAGATCAGGTCAACAAACCTTCCTCAATAGCTGTGTCATCCTATGTAATTATTACTTTTCCTGTATTTCATCATATTCCTATTTTCCAGAGCTTTTCCTATATTATATTACTTTGTACATACTTCCTAATGTATCACCGTTTCCCATTTTTCATGACAATTCGAATTACTGTTGAAGTTGGACGTGAGTTCGCAGTTGAAACTCGTTGGAAATATGTTTCTTTCCTACCAAAGCCATGCTCCGATCACAGAGGTTTATCCAAGAGAAAATAAAAAGGATGCCTTTCTATCAGACAAATGATAAGGTTTCTGGGGTCCCTCTAACAATTTCGGATGGAAATAAAAGCGAACTAAAATACGCTGATGGGGTTTGCCTCGTATTCACATATTTCAATGAGTAAGCATAACAAAAGCGATTTGCCAATAGTCTATCGAAATGATCACAAAAAATGCTAGAAAGGCGCTCCCCTCCGTCACTGCAATAAAATATACAGAATACTGTGATCGGTTGAATTTCAGCGGAAACCAGTTACAGGCTTACCATCATAATGTAGCGGTTTTGAGTAATGCCCTCGGAAAAGTTACTTTGAAAATAACAAAGGTGAAGAAAAAGGAAAATCGTACTTGCTCCAGGCTTTCGTCCTTTCAAAAGCGATTTCAAGTCCGTCTATACGAGTGTTCAGTATTCGATCAAGGTCCATCACCTGGCTATGTTCATCTGAAAAACTTGCTCTGATGGAATGCCCAGAACAAACTTCAAAAAAGTTTTGCATAAAAATCAAATATTAAAAATTGAATTCTGGAAGTACTAATTTTTACCGAAATTTACTATAACTGTGCACTTACAAGGAAACAGATTAAAACCCTTATAATATTGTGGACTAAAACCTACCAAACCCCATTGCAAAACTGGCATAGGAAAATATCGCTAGTTGAACAGTCATGGTCAATTCAGACAGGAAGAATCGTTTTCTTCCAGATTACCATTAATTTCAAGAATCCGTTCCACTTTTTTGGGGTGTTAATCACGCCCGCGCATTCTATCCAATGCCGTTCATTTCCTCACCATTTCCGTCAACATCCTGGTAGGTGGAATGGCGACGCTGTAGGGTGGCTGATCGTTGGCAAGTCGTGTACACTTCAGTCGAACTCTGAATAAGGAGAATTAATGAAAAAATAATGGATTAAAGTTTGGAGGCATAAAATAGTAGCAAAACCCGGTCTTCTTGCTGCTCTTTCAATTACCACCCTTATCCCCGAAATAAAAGTAATACATTATATAGGAGTTCTCGGAAGCTAGTGAGTTGTGGGTGAGGATACGTATGGGGAAACACCGTGAGGCGTTCGTCTGACAAAGTCGCCTCACGATATAACCATAACCAATCACATATAACCATGCCCAATTATGGCCGTATACACTAGATACATCGATCGCGTTGTTACGCACACAAATATAATAATAATAATATTTTTTGCCACTGTAACGCATCCACGGGAAACTGTACACTTCGATTGTTTAAGTTTCACACACGTTCTCGAGATGAGCCATGCACTCGACCCCTTTCCAGAATCAAAAAAAAATATTCGAGTCAATGTTTCTCAAGCACAGGAGTAGCATAGAAGAAGTATGAATCAGCGATGCCTTTTTTGCATGCCTCTGATTTTTGAATCTTAATTTCGATTCCATACATAGCTGTCAAAAGTGTTTGCTATAACGGTATTCGTGCATATTTTTCTTTCGAAAAGTCCAGGGGATTAAGCAAAGAAATTTCTTCGAATTCCTTGAATTCTTGGAAAAAAAGATAAGGATTACAATGCACATACAGATAAGAAGCAATATATCAATAAGTGAAATGATCTAGATAGATGAAAATAAACAAACAGACACGGAAAACCGTTCCGTCGAAGACTTTCCAACGTTAGTGTAGTGTAGTGATTA